GGGCTCTCTGTGTTGTCCATTCTGGCCAGGAGCTTTTAATCCTCCAGTCTCAGCCTCGCAAGTGGCCGGAACCACAGGTGTTCGCCACCACACTGGCTTTTAGAGCGGGAATCAGACCTGGGTCTCCCATGTGGTCTCAGCCTGTGCTGAGATGTAGCATCTACCAATATGCATACCTTGGCTGGGCCTAGAGATTAATTGTTTTTCCTGATTTGTGTATATAATTTATTATTTTTTTCACATCAGATGGGTACAGTGCGAATGTCGCATAACAAAGTTTGAGGAAGGCACGTTTTGCATAATGGTGTGAAAATCTACATGTGCTTATGAGCCACAAAGAATCAATACATAGGGACCAGTAGTTGGCGTAATGGCCATGTGGCTGGACTCCCATGTAGTCGACCATGGTTCGAGTCCTGGACCTGGTGGCTTAAACTCAAGCCAGGCGCATGTGCGTGCGTGCCCAAGATCCCAAGAGGAGAATGGAGGAGAAGGGATTGCGGCGTGGCCATCCTCCCTGGGGAGTGATTTCTGGGTTTCTGTCTCTCTGTCTTTCTGGCAAGCACACGCGCCCTATAGAAAAAAAACTCTCAAAAAAAAAAAAAAAGAATCAATACATATATCACATATATATGACTCCATGTAATATTTTTTTCATAAACGGCTTGCAATACCAATACATTTTTAAAACTCTCGTTCTAATACATAAACTCAAGCTGCCTTCCATATCAACCATTCATCTGTTCCTCCGACTTTTTTTATTCACAGAGCAAAAGTACAGCATTTGAAGCATTCTCTTCAGTCATGTATAGTACCTTCACAAGGTTGCACAATTATCGCTAATTCCAGTTCGTTGGATTTATTATTTCAAAACATTGAAAAACCAAAGTGTAATTTCATTTAATAAATGCCATTTGATCCTTATGCAATATCACTGCAGAAAGTGAAGTCTGTGTTAAGAATGACGACAGCAAGTTCTCAACCAAATAACCTGTTTTCAGAGTTTCAATAACTGCAGCAGTTTCCTTGAACTGTCTGTAGAAATCCTGAAAGTGTGGAATAGTCATTTCAAAGCACTTGTTCTTTACTTGGCCTGACTGATCTGCCACTGTTAGCATCACTGCCACGTTCGGATATTTAAGAGAGCTGCGGCCGTCAGAGCTCACAGCCACCCCCAATTTCCTCTGAAAATCTCTGAGCTGGTTGGTGACCTGGGATTTGGCATCCAGTGAGGGCTCACCTGACCCTCCATGGCCGGCCCTCCATGGCCGACCCTCCATGGCCGGCCCGGAGTTCTTCCAGTGGGGGCCGGTGGACTCTCCCCAGGCCCCAATTTTTTTTTTAAGCCATTAGGTCCTTGCGCCCTGCAGGCCCCCACATCTCTGTTAGTGACATGCCCAAGGAAGCAGGTAAGAAGGCCACCACCCACACTCTACTTGGCTTGTGTTTAGACCCCCTTATTAGGTTGCTTCCATTGCTCAATTTAATTCCTGACTCCAGGTAAATACAACCTTGACCCACCTGGCCAGGGCTGAGTCTAGTGCAGGGAGTGGGCAAGTGGAGCACTCGTGTGTTTCTGGGAGAGCCTTTCCTTCAGTTTTGATCTCCCACTCCCTAGGAAATCAAGCCAACCAGCAGTTGAAAGGAAAGTGTCTACTTTAGAAACTTCGACAATTTGCTGAAATAGCCATCTCTCTCTCTCTCTTCTTTTTTTTTTTTTTTAAGAATTATTTTATTTAACTTTATTTTTGTATTTCAATTTAACCAGAGAGGGACAGAGCGAGAGAGGAAGAGAGAGAGAAAGAAAGCAAGCTGCCAGATCTGAGATTTGAACTGAGGTGAGTCATGTGGGAGTCCGGCGCCCTTGACCACCACGCCATCTGTTGGCCCTAGCCACCTTTTTAATACTGGAATTTTTTGTTTTTTTTTTGGAGAGGTTTTTGCTATAGGGCGCATGTGCTTGCCAGACAGACAGAGAGAGACAGAGAGACAGAAAGCGAGAAATCACCCCCCAGGGGGGATGGTCACACCGCACTCCCTTCTCCTCCATTCTCCTCTTGGGATCTTGGGCACGCATGCACACGCGCCCGGCGTGAGTTTTAAGCCACCGGGTCCGGGATGCAAACCGCGGTCGACTACGTGGGAGTCCAGTGACATAGCCATTACGCTAACTGCTGATTCCCTTAATACTGGAATTTGAGTCCAAGAAACACCGTTGAGCCAAGACGTAGGTATCAGTGTGGGTTTAGAAATTCCTTCACATCCTGGAATTGACAGGGACTGTCAGTTCTTACTGGAGTTCTGGAAGGCCACTCTCCTGTGGGCCGGCATTGCAGCCTATCCCGCAGACCTTATGATGGGAGAGGGTAGGAGGGTGGCTGGGGCACCCTGGAGGCTTTTGTACAGAACTTCTGGAATCATCACAACAACACTCCAAGAGAAGGATCCTTACAGGTGAGAAAACTGAGGTGCGGCTCAAACCATGAGCTTGCTTGCAAGAGATTCAAAAGGATTCCGACACAGGTCTGAGCCCTATCCTGAATACTGAGGGGGTTGGCATGGTGGTAACCTACTGCTGGATCCATATGGATGATCGGGGTTCAGATCTCTGGGCACTGCATCCCTGCAGGGTGTGCACCCATGATCCTGGCTGGCTGGGAAAGTTGAAGAGGATCACCGTGTGAGACCCTGTGGAGGGTGCTTGTTTCTCTCTCTCTCTATCTCTCACTCGCGTGAAAGAAAGAAACTAAAACATACATATAGGTAAGTCTGTAATGTCGTGTGTTTAAATATATAGAAGGTACAAGTCAAGCTTACAAAAAGTCATAGAGAATACATCCTATCCTCCTACCTTAAAAAAATACACCTTCGGGGGCTGGCAGGTGGCATGGTGGTTAGAGGCACTGGATTCCCATGTGGCTGACCGTGATTTGAGTTCTGGACCTTGTGACTTGCTTTTTCGCTATCCCTTTCTCTCTCTCTCTGATCAAATTAAAAAAATAATAACAAATGGAATTAAATAAATATTGAAAAAAATACACCTTCGTAACTGGAAAGCCAGGTTAGAATTTAGAGTTTTCAGCTCCAGGGTGATTTGCATCAGGGAGCACCAGTGGGGATAGCTGGTCTCTAGTGTGCGGTTCCAACTTTCACTCACCTCCCCTCTCTCCCCTTCTCCAACACCGCCCCATACTGGGAAGGTCTCCCAGGCATGCATGTGGACTCTTCTGTCCTCAATCCAAGCTCTTCCTACCCTGTTCACAAACAGCCATCCCCGGGTCACCTATGGGAGGAAAGGGCCCTGAAAGTAGGTTCATATTGTTTGGGCAAGGAGTTCTGGGGTCTGGGAGCAGAATCACAGTCTGGAAGCTGTGGCGTGGCTGAGTGGGCACAACCCCCTGCCCTGGAGGGAGTGGGCAGCACAAGGGCCAGGTCACCCTGCCTGGGCCTGTAGTGGTAGCAGTGGGGTTCTTATGAAGGCCATGGCCTTGGTGCTTGAGAGAGCCTCATTATCCTGCTGTCTGCTCGCCTCCCCCAGCCCCCAGCCCCTGCCTGCTGTGTCCTCCTCAGAAGGCCTGTCTCTGTTTCGCACAGTCACCTAGCTGCAGCTAGGATCTCAGGCTCACGGTGTCCACGAACACCCAGGACGTGGCGGATGGAGGGTGAGCATTCTTTTCTGTGCTGCGCCACAGCTGCAGAAAACCGGGGCCCATCCTCTCTAAATACCCAGATGCCTCTGAGGAAGGGGGCCTACCGGGGCTGAGGCCCTTGAGCTGGGCTGGTGATAGCAGAGGAGGCATTCGTTTCATCTCAAAGCCCAGATTTTAAGAAGTGAATGACATCAGACCGACGTGGTTTTATGTGGTTTTACTCTCAGGTGGAAGAGGACGGGGTTTCTTCCCAGTGAAGTGAACATTCCACCTGTCATCTGTGTGGCGACAGCAGACACTGGGCAGGAGGAGACCGGGAGGGGCAGGCATTTTCCCTCTCTCTGGGCCCTGTGGGTAAAGCCACCTGCACACACGGTAGCCACCTTGCTGCTCTCCGTCCTTTGGGGTAAGCCAGGCTCAGGGCTGGGCCAGCTCTGGCGCTAAGAAGCTTGGTTAAGCGCTGCTGTCTGGCACCTTCAACAAAGCACAGGCAAAGCTCACTCTGGACGTTCTCTTGGAAGGGGAGCAGAGGTCCTACCACACTGGCAGTCCTGGGAGGCTGCATGTACCTGTGACCCATCATCCTCTCGGGTCGGTCTGCCTGTGTGGTCCTGGTTACAGATGGGGGAGTCCAAGCCTGCAGAGGCAGCGTGTGGACCTGGTAAATACTGGACTGCCTAGACCACCCAGGGAAGTGAGCTCTCTCCAGGTGATACGATGGTCTCTGTATGAATTTTGGTTACTGTCCACAGGTCCTGGCTACAGGTCTTACAGTCCTTGTAACAGTGTGCCTATAATAACGAGAGTATCTTTTATTACACATTTGGCCTTTTGTCCTTGGTTCCTGAAACAGCTCCAGGATAGTTTGAGAGCATAAAGGTGAAAGAATCTTTTGTCATTTATAACAAGCCCCTTTCCGCTGTACCTGAGTGTTTTCATGAGGTCATTTTGGGAAAGCCCCTAGATGACCACAGGATGAGGGCTGTTGCCCCTGAGAAGAGGAGAGGGGCTAGAGGTTGAGTTCAACACCAATGCCAGTGATTTCATTCACCGTACCTGTGTAAGGAAGCTTGGAGTGCAGAGGCCAGGAAGGTGAACGAGAACACGTCCACCTGCCGGGATGGCGGCGCGTCCTAGGTACTCTATGTATCTCTTCTTCACCTGCCGTTTCTTTGTATTCCTTAAAAAACCTTTTTTCCAGAGGGCACTTGTGCTTGCCTGAGAGAGACCGAGAAAGGGAAAGTGAGAAATCATCCCCTGAGAGAGGACCAGAAGTTAGTGTAATGGCTATGTCGCTGGACTCCCATGTAGTCGACCGCGGTTTACGTCCCGGACCTGGTGGCTTAAAACTCACGCCGGGCACGTGTGCATGCGTGCCCAAGATCCCAAGAGGAGAATGGAGGAGAAGGGATTGCGGCATGGAGGGTGATTTCTCTCTTTCTGTCTCTCTGTATTTCTGGTGAGTGCATGTGCCCTATAGCAAAAACCCCTCTAAAAAACAACAACAAAAACCAAGAAATCATCCCCGAGGGGATGGCCATGCTGCAAGCCCTTCTCCTGCATTCCCCTCTGGGATTGTCGGATCGAGCACACATGCACCTGGCATGATTTTTAGGCCGTCAAGTCCAGGACTCAAACTGCACAGTCATGTGGGATTTAGCTCCATAACCTCCATACCATTGTTGGCCCTTG